CTCAAACCATACTTGTATTATTATCGTGTTTAAGAAAGGTAGTATACACTCACTTGATCAGAAGATGATCAGACAGCACTACGGCTCTAAGAGTAGTACTTCTTCGGTGAAACCGGGATCACTTCACACACCGGGTTTCTCGCGGACAGAGCTTCGACTCGGAAACTCTTTTTCTTCTCGGGATCTTCGGGATTCGGGACTTGCTTCGGGTCTCGGGATGATACCGGGGCTTCGGGGGATAAAATAGGGCTTAGAGAAGGTATCGGGAGTGAGAGAGCAAGGGAGGAGCAACCAAAATCGGCTGACCCTTAATTTCTATTTATAGGGTGAGATTTTAGGGTTCACGTCGTGAGTTTTAAGGCTCACGTCGTGGGGATTGATCGTCACTGCATGCGTCTCATCCACTTGTTTCTGACATCTCCGGAAGGTCAAATCTCAAAATTCACGTCGTGAACACATTGTTCACGTCGTGAACTCTGACACGGTACCGGGTTTCGTGCCCCGAACTTCAGAAATTCATAACTTTCGCATACGAACTCTGTTTTTGACGTTCTTTATATCGCCGCGAAGGTGAGATTATGATCTACAACTCTTGTTTAGACTCCATTGGCTAATATTGACTTTATTTTTAATATATTATAAATATATTACTTTTAGTAGGTCGGGACAGGAAAACTCCGTTCGAAATTCATAACTCCTTCATCCGAACTCCGTTTTCGTCTGTCTTTTTATCGTTAGACTAATATTGATGAGATCTTCAATTCTCATTGAGAAAGTTTTGGCTAAATATCACTCGACCTCAATCTCGAGTTTCGGGCTGCATACTGCTAATGTTGAAACTTCGAAAAATCATAACTTCCTCATACGAAGTCAGATTTAGATGTTCTTTTTATGCACGCTCTCGGTTTAACGTAGTCTACGACTTTCACTTAGATCGCTAAGGACAAATATCGCTCTAACGTAAATTCACTATTTACGTCGGCTGTGTCGTGCCGGTTATGTCGCGAAACTTCGACAGGTCATAACTTCTTCGTTATAACTCGGATTTCGGCGTTCTTTATATGCACGGAAACCTTGTAACATATACTATAACTTAATTAAGATTATTACTTTAAAATAATATTCCATCAAAAAGTCATTTTTGACGCTTAACGTCTCCAATTGACTAGCCCGGATCTACGGGCGTTACAAAATTCTTGTCACTACTAGAAAGTGTTAGATTCTAAACTATCATGCAATGATTCTTTTGTAATGTCTAGGTGCCAAAAGTCACAGAGACTTGACCGATGATATTACAAAATATTCCTTTGGATATTGTTACAAGACAATTCCATGAAAATGAAGTATCAATTTCAAAGTACATTCCTTTGAACATACTTCTTGCATAAAAGTTTCTAACTTTCTCATCTATTCTTCAACTCCCAGTATGGAAGCATTCCATATTCCCATTTTGACTATCACTTATGAACAAAAGTTGTCTCTCTTCAGAATATGTCAATATGATTCATCCATTTTTATACTATCAAACGTCCTTAAGCGACCAATCTTTAGCAAACCTTATATTGTCATTAACAGTTTTTTAACCACTTTAGTCAAATCCGGTTCTATTCCTTTTTTCCCTCTTAATGCCCTAGGCATTTGAAAATTTTAGAACACGAGAATATTATAGCATATGCAATCGATCTTATACCCAAAGCAGATGGGATACGATTCATAATGTTTAACATAAAGGCATGATACTTAATAAGTCTTTTGCTATAATATTTCTATTTGCCATGTTCTCATAATTTTGATTATGAAGATGGATGTCGTAATCACAACCAAATTTTGAGAACGTAATTAACCTTTCCTTATATAGAATTTCCTTATGTTTAACCATTCCAACATAAAATTCATATATATTTGACTAAATTTGATTAAAATCTCATAATCTAACCTTTGATATTTGAAATGAAGTATAAATTGCTCTCCCTTAATTATAGCAAAACAACTTTTCAAACAGTGCGACTTTGCGACTTGAAACTTTTGTTTTCTATAATTAACATTGCCAACTTGCAACACTTCCCATAATGATTATGTTCCCACTAGCATAATAATTATTATCTTTACTTGCATAACACTTATGCTCCCACTAGCTTTGACATGTATTCAGAAATCAGCTGGACTTCTAGAAATCAATACTTATTGACTTTCTTACCAGTGTTCAGATTTCTGATATATGAGATGCTTCGATAAGACTTTATCTAGGCTTCTCAAACTCATACACATTTCCTTAGAAAACTCATGTGTGTCTAAACAATTTAAGAACTTACAACAATAAGTCTCAAATGTTTAGACCTTTGCCATTTCTCACAATTCGAATTATAAAAAAGGATGTCGTAATCATAATTGAATTTGAGAAGACAAATATCACAATTCTATTTCCTTAAAATCTACTTAGTGAAAGCGTTTACTCACTATCGATTTCATGAATCGGAGAGAAACCTTATGACACTTAGATTTTATGGTGTATGTGTTTCTATCAATGTGAATTTTGTCGTAACCATAATCACAAGACAATGTTAGCTTAAATTGTTAATTTAAATATAAAATCACAGTGTCAATTTAAATATAAATTTCAGTTTCACTTAAAAAACTCAATGAATATTTTTTGAATAGTTAAAAGTGATAATTATAGTGCTAAATGCAAAAACTAAATTATCATCTCAATTTAACTAAAATATTTCCAAAAGATATTTTTATAATCGTTAAAAGTTTTTAAATAAGTAGTTTAAAATAACTTACAATAACAATAGTTAAAAATAACTCTATATTAATGACTATATTGTTACCTTAAAAATCCAAAAACAATGTTTGATGTTTTAAATAATTATAATGATAAAAATCAGAATGTTAAACAAGTAAATTTAAAAAATTAATTAACAATAACAACAATTATAAATAACATTAAACTATATATTATATTTAATTTTATTCATGAGTAATTCGCAGGTAGAAATCATTCAAACGGTTGAGAATATGCAATTATAATAGATGTATAATATTATCTTATAATTCAAAATAATCAATATATTATATCAATTTAGTATACGAATTATTATATCAAATTTAACAACTTTATTATTATATTTAAAAAAAACATATATTTGTAAAGATTTCAACTATACAGATGTTTCTGCACAACGCGAGAACATTCGCCTAGTGTATATATTAATTGTAGTCTTCGTTGAATGCATTTTATATTCTAAAAAATATACAATATAGCATGATATCAAGTTATGGTAAACATAACATTATATAATCCAACATATTCATCTCATCAGCTCAATTGATGATTATGCATGAAATCATACGATGTATGTTACAAGGAGAAAATAGCAAAATCATCACTTATTTTTAGTTTGAAACCTATTCGTAAATTATTATTAAATAATAGGACTCTAATGAAACTATATCACTAATAAAACTAATAAACCGGAAAAAAACAAGTCAAATTGTCATTTTACCAGTTATTTATGTTTTTTTATAAACAAGTTTTTGTTTAGTTTTTTTTTATAAATTAAAATAAAATATTATGATTTTTCTATTTATGTTTTTTTATAAACAAATTTTTATTTAGTTTTTTTTTTATATATTAAAAAAAAATATTATTATTTTTCTAGAGAATTTTAACAATAATTTCTTCGAAAATCTAAAAATAATGTTATTTACCGAACGATATAAAGTCACATAAAAGTAAAGTATTCTGATACACTTTTACACAAGTTGTTATAGAAATAGTTTTTTTCAGCACTAGACGTTATTATTTTGATGTTTGAGTCTTTGACCGAGCAAACAGCTAACGGAAGGAAAACCACATGCTAATTACGGTAGGCTGCAGATACACCATAACACAACCACAGGTGCTGTTTGTGTTTGGGTCGCTGCCGGTGGTGGTTCACAATCTTATCATCTTTTTTATATTCCCAATTTCACCCTTTTCCTTTTTCTTCTTCCTCTAATTCCTTTTCACCATCTTCATCTTCATCTTCATCTTCATCATCACATTTCTTTAATTATACACGATTCTAGAATCTCAACGCCTTTTATCGATCAATTGATTCAGAATTGTAGAGACCCAAATTCACACGAGACGCAAGAGTAACAAAGCATCGCACCCTGGTCATCATCATCAGGCATAAAGAGACAGGTACGACTAATTCATGAAAATCTTCTTTTGCCATGGATTGTTTTTGCTGCTATCAACGATCCATCGATTCTTTTTATATAATAAGTATTTTTTTTAATCCAATTATGTGATATAGATATCTCGTTGCAGTTATCGAACGATCTGATTATTTTGTAATCGTCTTTAGTTTTAATCAAGAATTACTCTTCTCAATAACAGATTGATTTTCTTCGATTGACGATTGTTCATAGTTACTTGTAATTTCAATCAAGAATTATTCCTTCTTGTACTTTACGAATGTTTAATATCCTTTTCTTTTTATTGATTGATTCTCAATGTTTAATTCGAGAACATTTTGGATCCTTCCCGAAAGTTTTCTGAAAATCAAGACCTTTGGCTTTTATTGTTCGAATATTATACGTACTGGGTTTCTTGCCAAAACAGAAAGGGTAGATGTGTCTTTTTGTCTCAAGAAAGACGGTTTAACGTCTTTGAAATGACAAAATTACCCTTGTGGTTCAGCTTCTAGTAGGGGTAGTATGGATATTTAATCACGGATTAGTTTCCTATTTCTGATCAAGTCAAAAAATAATCTGTTTACCTTCGCTTATAAATATCAGAATTCCGGCTGCGCGTCTTTCGTGTAAAACCAAATCGATTCTCTTTTTTTCTAAACAAAAATTGGATCGTAAATTTCTGAAATTGTGATTTCTACAGCAAAACGATCGAAATGGGTTCTGATGCGAACAAGATGAACGACGCTACAAGCTTCCAGCCTTCGGAGCCTGCACTCTGCGCAAACGGCTGCGGCTTCTTCGGCACGGCGGCGACGATGAACCTCTGCTCCAAATGCTTCCGTGATCTTCGAATCCAAGACGAGCAAGTCGCTTCCGCCAAAGCCGCCGTGGACAAGCTGGTAAACAAGGTCGTCTCCTTCCCTCCCCAATCCGCAGCGTCTCCATCCTCTTCTTTATCTCCGGCGGCCGTACCTGAAACGGCATCGCAACCTTCAACGGCGGAGGAGGTGAAGGTATCAAACCGGTGCTTGACCTGTAAGAAGAAGATTGGGGTTATGGGATTCAAGTGTAAGTGCGGGGAAAGTTTCTGTGGAAGCCATAGGTATCCGGAGAAGCATGATTGTGAATTTGATTTCAAGAGAAGTGGAAGGGACGCCATAGCTAAGGCTAACCCGGTTGTTAAAGCTGATAAGGTGAACCGGATATGATTTAAGATATAAAATAACTCCGGTTCGTATTTGGGTTGGGTAGGGTAGTTGAATTGAAGGTGGGGGGTGGGGTCAAGGGTGTATGTTAGGAAGGGAGTGGGGTGGGTTTTAAAAGTTTATTGGATTTGATTTCTTAATAAAAGTTGAATGTATTATTGGATTAGTTTTCTTGGTGGTTTTTAGAAATTAGAAGTTCAATTTTTTATATAATTTGATACGATAATAAAAAATATCAAATATCAATCGTTTTTTTAGTAATAGCAGGAGGCGCCATGTTTATTATATTGGGTTTTCTTTTTGGCGGTTATTAAAAGTTGTTTTTCTTTTTATACATTAGAGCCATAATAAAAATATCAAATATCAATAGTTTCTGCAATCTTATGAAACTAAAATTAATTAATAATTGTAACATTACAAATTACGATTTGAGTGTTGATAGAGTAGACACTATTTATTTATTTATTTTATTTTTTTGTAATAGCACGAGGTGCCATGTTTTTTATGTAGTGTAGCTTATGCATACCATGCTGGTACGATTGATTTGCAATGAAAATGTATTGACGTCGCGAGTCAAAAGAACGTCGTAAAATTGATGTTATGGCGTTTATGTATTTTTATTGATGTATATGTGTCACTGTAAGTTAACATGACGTTATGATTTTAGGCTAATTTTTTTATAGGATATTACTATTATCAGATTATGAGTTAATAACATAGTTGCAGAAATCGGGATTAATCATGAATTAATTGTTTGACGTTCCCCAACCGATTAGGATTAGTGTGTTTACTGTAAATTAGAGATTAATTGGGTTTGGAAGGATTAATTGGTCTTTACGGGATTAATTGATCAAAAAAATTCAAAAAAATAATAATAATAAGATCAAAAAATTCAAAAAATTAAAATTTTTTGTTTCAAAATTTTTAATTTTCAAAATTTCAAATATTATACCAAAATGTTTATATCTTCTTATTTTCAAACTTTAAAATTACAAATTTTTTTATTTTCTAATTTTGAAGTACTTATTTTTCTTAAAATATATTAATTTTTGATCAATTTTTCTATTTTATTAATAGTCTATGGTCCCCGATTAATCCTCACAATACCGATTAATTCTTAAACACCAGTCGACCGTCGAGCTACAATCGAACGATTTTTATAACCTTAGATAGTAATACTAAGCTTTGAACCCATTAGGCATAACTCTTAACTTTATTTTATGTTGTTAATGTATGACCTAGGCAGTGATACATGAGTTAGTTTTAGTGGCACATAATTAATATAAAGTTAAGGCAAACCGGTACAGGGGGTATTTCATGCGTCTTGGGTTGAGGTGACGCGCCTTCCCACGCGTGAACACCGCTCCCAAGTCCAATGGGATACGCGTGACGTGGCTCCGAAGACGGGACGAGACAATGAATCACAATCCTTCTTTTTACAATGGCTGGACTTTGGTGGGGAGACCGTTTAACAATTAAATAAAATATATTTTTTAAAATTTAAACAATCCCAACTTCACATATAAATTACATACTATTTTCTTTCCAATTTACACTTCAAAACACATTTATATTATTTCAAAACAAACACACACATTAAACTAAAAAATGGATAATTGTCTGCAGCACGAAAGGCATCATATGAACTTTTGAAACGTGATTATTTTGTCGTAGATAGTTTATATGATCTATCGAAATTCAAAGAACGTTTTCGTATTAGTAGAAATTTATTTTTACATATAGCTAGAGATTTGCCACGTAATTATGAAAATTTCCAATTACGATGGGATGCTAGAGGTAAACGTGGGTTTACTATGATACAAAAATGTACGACCGTTCTTAGACAATTGGCATACGACATCGTCGCAAACGCATTAGACGAGTATCTGAAAAAGTCTGAAAGGACAGGTCGAGAGTGTACATATCTATTTTGTGAGTATGTTATAGAGCTTTACCGTGGCATATACTTGAAACATCCGACTAAAAGCGATGTTGAGCAGTTGTATGTCACGCATCAAGTTAAACAAGGTTTTCCACGGATGTTTGGTAGCATTGATTGTACACATTGGGAGTGAGCAAATTGTCCCAACGCGTGGCGTGGTCAATTTACGCGAGGTGATTATGGGGTGCTGACTGTTATTTTGGAGGCGATTGTTTCAAATGACTTATGGTTTTGACATGCATTATTTGGTATGGCAGGGTCAAACAATGACCTGAATGTGCTCCAAGCTTCACCGATTTTTAATGATATTTTACAGGGTAAAGCAACAGAAATGTCATATGTTGTCAATGGAAATGAATATAAATATTAGTATTATCTAAGTGATGGGATGTATCAAGTATACACTACATTTGTCAAGTCATACACATTTCCGACCGACGATAAACGAAAAATGTTCAAGTTAGCACAAGAATTTGCAAAGAATTATCTAGAACGGCCATTTGGAGCCTCAAACAAAAGTGGCAGATAATCAAACATCCAGCACGAACATGAGACAGGGAAAAATTGACGACGGTGTTGACTGCTTGTGTTATTTTACATAACATGATAATAGAAGAAGAGGGTAGGACTATTTGTTTCTATACCACAAACGATATACATAATCTACCTGCAGTGATACAAGTTGGCAGCCCGATATACTTCTCAAGGGTTTTGGTAATACAAAACCGTGAAACACATCACAATCTACGACATGATTTGACCGAATACATATGGGAAAGACAATTTCAAGGGCAAAATGACATTGAAGACGAGGGGGATGACAATGGTGACGAGGAGGAGGATGGTGGCAGTGACGATGAGGAGGGTGACGATGGTGACGACGAGACAGGTGATGCCGATGATGACAACGACAACGATTAGAATTTTTCTATGTTTTTTTTTTATGTTTTCTTATTTTTATTTTATTTAGACAATGTAACGTTTAATTTTAGTAATTTAAGTTTTAAATTTTTATGTTTTTAATTAATGTAATGAAGTTTTATTTTTTTTAAGTTTTAAAAATTTAATTTATGTTATAAATTATGTTTTATTATTTAATATAATGTTAAAAAAAAAGAATAGAGTGGTAACAATTTCCAATTTTTAGTGGGTTGATGGAGGGTTGGTTTTGAAGCTGACGTGACGAAATTTGGCAGTACTTTTTCGGTGGGGTGAGTGTAACCACTCCCCAAAGCCTAAGTGTTAGTGGCACATAATATGAGTTAGTGTTAATGGATTGTGAATTTAATTTGATTTCAATTTTACATAGTTAGAATTAAATAGTTTAAAATAAATTTAAGAGAAATTAATTTTTTTTTTTATCTTTTGTTCCTATATAAAATAATGACTTGTGAAATTAACTAATTAATTAATATCTTAATACGAAGTTTAAAAAAATATGTATTAATGTTTTTTATTGGACGACCTTAATATAAATAAACCAAGTAATTTAATAATGATTTAAGGGTATATATATATATATATATATATATATATATATATATATATATATATATATATATATAATATATATATATATATAAAATAAGATATTGTTATTAGGTTCTTAATTTAGTAACCAAAATCGATATGAAATTCAAAGTGATAATTTTTTTTTTATAAAACAATCCAAAAATCTAAACATATAAATTATCTTATTCAATCCAAATTGTCCGAATCAACAACTCAATTTTATATGAATAATAAACAACTTTACGAAACACATAATTTACCGATATAGTTAGTAATGTTGTAGTCATACCCTCTTATGATAGCTAGGAGTATATGTATAACACAAGCTTGATGTGTAATAATTTGATTGTGTTTATTTTATGTAATGTTTAATTGTGGATTTAAATTACTCATTGATTCTTGAGGGAAAGCGAACGGAAATTACAGTAATTAAGGAAAACACAAAAAAGAAAAGAAAGAAAGAAAGAAAAAGAATCCTAATTGCGGTATAAAAGAAGTAAAATAAGGAACACATGTCATTTGTAGATGCAATTTCCTACTATAAAACCATTTATGTTAGAGTTATTGTCACTATAGTCCAACAAACTTTTCGGTTTTGTTTTACATGGTCATTTATGATATTTTTTGCATCTTAAGGACATGAACTTGAGTTTTACCTGGTAATTTGAGTAACTCGCCTAGTAGAATTGCTTTTAATGCCAAATATGGGAGAAGTATTACTCTGAGTTCCAGCTATATATATATATATATATATATATATATATATATATATATATATATATATATATATACACATCCCCTTAGCCATGGTCATAATTTTCTTTTGCCTGAAAATTTTAGCCACGGCAACCAAGTTTTCTTGAATCCTTGATTTTGATTAAGAAGGTGTGTTGTGAGCTTCCTCAACCTCCATACTATCTATGATGAATCGTTGCATATCATGCTTCATGATTGCTATAACCAATTTGGGATGAATAACAAGCTTCATATTGAATCATAATGATAAACACACAAATGTTCATTGTGTTGAATTGCCTTGGTTGACCAATTATCTCTAATATTTGAGCATCTCACCATCTTGCATAATTACAAGCTTTTTAGTTATTTAAGTCTTTTAGTTTTCAAGCAATCATAACCCCTCCCCTCCCCTATTAGTTTAATTGTAGTTAGTAGTTTTTTTACATGAATTCTTTTGGATTGCATTGATGATTGAATACAACCATTTCCATGAGGATCGATACTCATTTTTACCATTATATTATGTTTTATTTACAAACAAATGGTGTAAGTTGCTTGGTGGACTTGACATCCCACCAACGGATCAGTTTTTTTCTTGCAAGTTTCAACAAAATCGAACCTGCATATCATGTTAATTATTTGTTAACTGTTTGGTAGAAACCTTCTCAAGTTTATATGTTTAATTTGGTCCTCATACGAATGAGTTTGGTTGAAGCATTGATTGAGCAGTTAGGCCACATAGTACCTGGAATGAAATCGTTCATTCAACTGATGTACTTGAAGAACTTTTATCACCTGTTGTATCTAGAAC